GTAAGCTCCTCCTATATCATCAAGTTTTACGCCTGTAACCGTCTACTATAACAGGGGACTCCAAACTTTTTAGTCCGAGGGCCGCATTACCTATCAAATTTCAGTTTGGGGGTTAGTTTCTTCCAGGCATGTCTTTGATTGTTCTGGGCAAAGTTCCTCAGCCATCACCAACAAACGGTTTTTCCTTAGACAAAAAGATCTCAGCGGGCTGGATAAAAGGACTTCGCGGGCTGCATACGGCCCGCGGGCCGTAGTTTGGAGACCCCTGTCCTATAACATCAACCTTTAAACCCGCAAACGTCTCCTATAGCACCTTGCTTAAACCATGTAGTCCTTGACTAGTACAACATGTTTTAAACATTTTCCTCTGCGTATGGGGGTTGGCGAATTTTCCAAAATTATAAGTATATCGACTCTAAAATAATTCATGTTGAACTAAAGATTATGTTTTTGTTGAAATAGATTTAGATGACCGCGGATGTTGGATATTTTTCGATATTTCTTACTCACCAATACCGACCTTTACGATAAACTATAAACCTCTCCCTAGTCCTAACGTAAACATAAGCCTATATTATATAATCATAAACCTAAACCTAACAGTAATCAAGACCCTGACTGTAAAAAAATGGTTTGTCGTGATTCTCGCTTTACGGAAAAGTTGTACAGCTAATCGATAGGGACCATTAAAAAATGAGAAGGATTTTAAACGGTAAAACTAAACCATTATCTACATTCAATGCTAAGTATGAATAAAAGGAGGAAGGAATTACTTTTCATCCATACAATATTTATTGGTGTAAAATAAAGCTGATATTGTTTTCAAAATAATATAAAGGACTCTTGACAAATGCTGCGCTATGTATTTTGTTTAGCTACCCCAACTTATGCCAGGTTCCCATAACAGCTGAGCGAGCTGAGGGTACGATAACCATACTAGAAAATTTTTTTGCTTGGATACGACCAGTCGGTATACTACAAGTATACAAAGATGTGCAAGTATATGCAAAGCTGATAAGGAAAGTAGATGTAACAGGATTTTTCATTATTTTTTTCATGCACATGGGAGGCAACTTGCAATACTAACTTACTTCCCCGGTTTAATAGTACTAGGAGGTGAAACAGTGTGGGACGGGGTGGTCGAATGGTGGAGCGTTTGGCTGATAGCTTGAAGGTCGTGAGTTCAGATCTTAGTTTAGACTTGTATGACGTCCTTGAGTCCACCCAGCTCTGGTGGGTACATGACTTAATTTGTAGAAAGTTAGAACGGCTGAGAATAGTGTTGATCACACTGTCCCTTCATATGCCGATGTCAAGAAAAATATCAACAATTTCATTTACCCCATTGGGTCGCTAGGTCTAAAGAGGAATCTTTATAGCCGCACATAAAGGCAGAAACTAGTGCAATCATGCACGCAGGTATAGATCTACATCCACGCTAACTACATCTCCAAACTTATAATTTTCCATTAATCCTGGGCAATTTCTTTTTATTTCTTTTTTTTGTTTAATATCCCCATCCCCAACATGACCTCTGAACCCCATATGTAACCCCCGCATGCACATCTAGATGCACATATAATGCGGGCGGTTCAATAACTCAAAGATCATAGCGATAACACCGTGATGGATGACACGTCAGGGGAGGTAACTATCTGCAAACCACAAAAACCCAAGGGAAGCTAGCATCTACAACCACAAAACCAAGGGAAGTAAGCATCTACAAAGATAAACTATTGGCCAATTAATTCAGACAAACCCAGTTTCATACTGTTTTCTTCTTAAAGAGTACAAATAACGTTTTTCAAAATACTTTCTACAAGGGCAAACAAACAAAAATTAGAAATCGTTTGACCTTGATACATTACAGTTATTATCAACCAATATTAGAAACATTACTGATTAATAAATTAAATACTTTATAATAAAACTAAGTATCAATTTCTACTCTGATTTCTCGATAAGAAGAAGTTGTTTAACGCATGTTTTACTCTGGGGAAAAAAAAAAAAAAAAAAAAAAAAAAAAAAGTTTTACTCTGGGGGCAACCAAAAGTAATATATGGGAACAGAGGGCATGGGCGTTACCCCCCCCCCGTCAATTACCCCTTCCCCGGGACATTCCCCCACGTCATTACTCCTGGAGTAATTACCCCCCTCCCTGTCAATTATCATCTGTCAATTACCCCCGCTCAGTAGGACATTACCCCCCCCCCCCCCGTCAAAGCTTAAGGTTCAGCTAGGGTTCGAGTTTGGGCTAGGTCTAGGTCTAGGGTTAGCGCTAGGGCTAGGACTATGGCTTGGGTTAGGGTTAGGGCTAGGGCTAGGGCTAGGGCTAGGGCTAGGGCTAGGGCTAGGGCTAGGGCTAGGGCTAGGGCTAGGGCTAGGGCTAGGGCTAGGGCTAGGGCTAGGGCTAGGGCTAGGGCTAGGGCTAGGGCTAGGGCTAGGGCTAGGGCTAGGGCTAGGGCTAGGGCTAGGGCTAGGGCTAGGGCTAGGGCTAGGGCTAGGGCTAGGGCTAGGGCTAGGGATAGGGCTAGGGCTAGGGCTAGGGCTAGGGCTAGGACTATGGCTTGGGTTAGGGTTAGGGCTAGGGCTAGGGCTAGGGCTAGGGCTAGGGCTAGGGCTAGGGCTAGGGCTAGGGCTAGGGCTAGGGCTAGGGCTAGGGCTAGGGCTAGGGCTAGGGCTAGGGCTAGGGCTAGGGCTAGGGCTAGGGCTAGGGCTAGGGCTAGGGCTAGGGCTAGGGCTAGGGCTAGGGCTAGGGCTAGGGCTAGGGCTAGGGCTAGGGCTAGGGCTAGGGCTAGGGCTAGGGCTAGGGCTAGGGCTAGGGCTAGGGCTAGGGCTAGGGCTAGGGCTAGGGCTAGGGCTAGGGCTAGGGCTAGGGCTAGGGCTAGGGCTAGGGCTAGGGCTAGGGCTAGGGCTAGGGCTAGGGCTAGGGCTAGGGCTAGGGCTAGGGCTAGGGCTAGGGCTAGGGCTAGGGCTAGGGCTAGGGCTAGGGCTAGGGCTAGGGCTAGGGCTAGGGCTAGGGCTAGGGCTAGGGCTAGGGCTAGGGCTAGGGCTAGGGCTAGGGCTAGGGCTAGGGCTAGGGCTAGGGCTGGGGCTAGGGCTAGGGCTAGGGCTAGGGCTAGGGCTAGGGCTAAGGCCAGGGCCAGGGCCATGGCCAGGGCTGAGGTTATGGCTAAGGTTAGGGGTAGGATTAGGATCAGGGTTAGGCTTAAATCAATATCTAGAGTTGGGTTTGGTTTTGGGATTATTTTAGCCTGATGTGAATTCTTATATTTTTCGTCTTTGTCTTAAGGTTAGGAGTAAGCTAATTTATTGGTATAGAGTTGGAATTAGAATCAGGATTCTATCTTGGTGTAAGGGGGGGGGGGTAATCTCACAGGGGGGTAAAAGACAGGGGGTAAATACGGGGGCAAAATGTCCGGGAGGGGGGGGTGGGAAATGTCAGGGGGGAGGGGTAATGTCCTGTAGCCATCAAATATATATCATTATATCAAATGTTATAATGTGCAACATTTGTTAAAACTTTTTTTTGTCATCAATAAAGTTTGAATAATTAAAAATTTATGAAAAAAACCGAATAATGGACTGAGAATGAGAGAAAGAAACAGGCTATTGGTAATGATTTATCGATGCTATCCTTTCACACAGTCATTTTGTATATTTCGTAAATATTAGGGCAATAATAAAAAAAAAATTGACTAGTACTGAAAAAAAATTGAAGAAAAGAAATCGATATTTAAAAATGATGTTTAAAATAAAGTATAATCTAGAAAAAGTTATCTGAGTTTATGTAAAAAAGTTTAAATAATAATCTGAAAAAATAATCCCTAATATTTAAATTAAGTAAACATACATTGAAGAAAATGACAACAGTTTTTGGTGTGCTCAAAGATGATATGTAGATTATAAATAAAAATCAAACAGATCGTTCAACTATGCTTGTGATTTATCAAAGTAAAGTTAATTTGTATCAACACTAAACATAAATTTTATAAAACTATTTTTCATCTTTTATCGTTGTAGTCTTCTGTTTTCCATGAGTATCATTACGATCTGTTTATATGTGCTATAGCAATTCAGACCGTCTCGATTATTTTTAGTTATATTTTTCCTAAGACAGAAGATGAACAGATATTTTAGTTTGGACAAGATTTAGACAGATTTACAGCAGGAAGATGCAGATAATTTGTGCACATAGCTCCGATCTCTGGCACACGAAATTGATTTGTAGAATGTCGGAGTTATCTTGATTAAAATCTTGATATTCCACGGAACAAAAAGATAAACATGAATCAATTTCAGTCTCTTTTTAAAAAAAAAATTGGACTCCCACACAAGGGCTGAATTCTCTAAACTCTCAGTAAATTAATATTGGGGGTACAATTGAAGGGAAATTTAAATCATCGTAATACTATAATATATGGCGTGGTCATGCAGTAGAGCGCTAGACTGCTAATTCGAAAGTCTCAAGTTCGAATTCAAGTCAGTGTAATTTCCCTGAGTCCACCCAGCTCTAATGGGTACCCAACTCACGTTAAGGAGAAAAAAAGGCGGCTTGGCATAGTACTGACAACACTATCCCTTCGTATGTCGAGGTCATTGAATTACATGAACTCTACTTCATATCTCTTGAGCACGAGCGTAAGAAAGATGATGAAATACTAAAGTAAAGTATTAATATACCGCCCGCCCCCCCCCCCCCCCATTTACTCTATGTGGACGTCTAGCCGTGGATGCATCAACTCACCCCCCCACCCATGTGGACTTGTAGCCGTGGCTGGATGAACTCTACCCCCACCCCTATACTCGATGTGGACGTCTAGCCGTAGCTGCATCAACTCACCCCCCCCCCCCCCCATTTACTCCATGTGGACGTGGCTGGATCAACTCACACCCCGCCCTCCCCCCATTTACTCTATGTGGACGTCTAGCTGTGGCTGGAACAACTCACCGCCCCCCCCGCCCCTATACTCCATGTGGACATGGCTGGATGAACTCACCCATCAGAGTTGTACTGAATGACCCGGTACGCGTTGTTCTTCTCCTCGCTGATGCACGTCCTGTTGTACACATGCTGACGGTCTGAGCACTGACCAAAGCTGGACTTGTGGGACACGCGCCTCGGTGACCTCTCGCACGTCTGGAAGTTCAGCTCACGGTACCGCCACATGTGGTTGCCCTGTGGGACAGGTTGGAACAGCGTGTTGGAGGTATTCCTAGATCCTCATACACCACCCATCTATCTACCCATTTATCCACCCATATATCCACACATATACCCAATCATCTAGCCACCCACCTATCCACCCACCAATTCACCCTTCTATCCACCCATCTACCCATTTATCCACCCATCTATCCAATCATCCATCCACTCATCCGTTCACCCATTTATCCACCCATTTATCCACCCATCTATCCACTTATCTATCCACCCATCTATCCACCAATTTATCAACCCATTCTTCCGCATGTGAAACGATCCTTTATCCCGTTAGTTTATTCGACCCCACCCCTACCCCCACCCCCTTACATCTACCAATCCGTCCAACTATTCACAAATCCATCCATCCATCCCAAATTAACATCAAACCATCGACCTATCAACCTATCCCTTAATTCACCCCTCCACCCATTTACCTATCCACAATTCATCCATCCACCCACCCTCCATCTATCCACCCACCCACCAACTAACCAACCCACCCACCCATCCACCCACCAATCCATCCGCCCCTCCACCCATCTCACCTGTACAAAAATATCCTGTTTCTCCGCCAACTTGGGCACATGCCGTATGTGAAGCCACCACATCTGAGTGTTCCATGGTTTGATCGTGCCATATGTGGATCCACCTTGTAAGAACTCAGGGAACCGACAAGTCTCCGGACTCGCTGAAACACACAACAAAACAGTTATTCAACATGTATACCTATCATGTTGCTTGTTAGGAAATAATTTATAATACAGTTGTTAGCAGTTGTAAATTTAATCCAAGAGTATGTTAAAGAGCAATCTAACAAAATATACATTTAAATAAAATATAAGATATGCAGTGATCACTTTTAATTTAACCTGGCGTTTTTAGATCTAACGTAGTTTTTTTAAAAAAAATAAATAAATTAGGTTAAAGTTATAGATGGTTATACAGACGAGGATAGTCTTTTAAATTGAATTTGATTGATTTCACGTGGCAATGATGGTTTGTTTAGCGTGATAGTGAGTCAATCTTCTAAGTTTAAGAATCTTTTTTTTTGCTGGGATACTGAGTCATTTTGTTTTGAATTATCTATTTGAATCATTTTGTGGTGGCGTGTTATCGGTATAAAGCGATTTCTCTAGTTTGGGTTTAACTCGTTGAGTCACTAAGACCATTACTTTGGTGTGTCATTAGATTCTTGAATTATAAGTAAACTACACATTTTTTGAGATAACTTTCTATAGGGCAGACAAAGTAGAGTTTATGTGTTTCTATTTCCGCGGCACATTCTATGAATATGTTGTCAATAATGTCTTATTTAGACCCGCAATTCCTATCCTGCTTTGATTGGCACCCACATATTTTATTTTCATGTAATTTACACGTGTATTCATATAACTTAACAGTCTTCAAGGGGAAGATAAAGTAGTGTTTACCTGTTTCTTTGACTACAGTACAGTTAAATGTTAATGTTGTCAGCACTATGCCCAGCCACCTTTACTACCCTCAACATGAGTCAGGCACCCAGTCTGAAATAAGTGCACTCAGACTGAAGCCCGGGATTCGAACTCGAGACCTTCGGGTTAGTACTCGTATAATCTACCCTCCGACCATGTCGTTTCTAACAATTGTCTGCTATCAAGACACAACCTATCAATTTACTTTACAGTGTTACTAAATTCTTGAAACAATTGTCCTAAGCTAACAATTACAACAAAACACCAGATATGAGGTTCAACCATTTCCGCTACCCGGAAATCGGTTCTTCCTGTGGACTTCCGGTGGTTTACTAGAACCTTCGGATGGATCGCCCCGGGGCAGACAATCATTTGATTTGACGGTCCCTACTAAACGCTGAGCAAACCCGCCCTGGAAAATAAGAGCTAAATTAAATCTTCATTGTCGGAGAGCTATACGGGTTTGATAGGCCCGGAGTCTGGTGCTGGAGGTCCATGCCGTGTGGATGACGGATGTCGGATGACGGATGACGGATGGCCGATTTATTAGAGTTGCGTCGATAGGAGTTTGGTTGGGATGTTGTGTGTGTGTCTTTAATCATTGCGGATAATTGTGATTTGATGTGAATGGTCAGATAACGTGGATGTCTAACTGATGAGGTGGTCGAGGCGGTAGATTAGTCAGGTTGGGAGGAGGGTGGGGATGGGGGGGGAGGGTGGTATTGTTGGGCGATAGTGGTACTAACAGACACACCGGATATTTGATAAAGGTTTATAAAGCCGGGAAAAGATAACGGTTTACATATTAAGAATAAAGTTTGTTGGAAAACAGTAAACTACGGATTTTTGTTTTTGTGGTAGAGGAAGTTAAATAAATGTTTAGAGGAAACACATTTATAGAGTAAAAGATATAAACAAATCTCATAATAAAATCCCAATGGGATTAACTGACAATTTAATTAACCAAGGAGTAAAATATTATGGATTTGTTAAAGTTTAGAAGACAGAACTGTGGTGATAGTTTAACATTGACATTGCATTAAAAAAAAGGGGGGGGGGTTATAATTTACATTATATGTAATATCGATAAGAAGAACTCGTATTGAGAATAATTGCTGGATGGGCTAATAGTAATACATGAATAACAACAGTTAACCTATTGCAAAGAACAATAACTATTTTTGTTGAATAAATGTACAATTTTAATGGTTACTTCCCGTTTGATAATGTGTTGACAGCCACTAACAAGTTTTCAATTACAATGTCTTCTACTCCCTGAGTGTGTTTATAAGCATGTGGTTATACGTGCTGGGGTAGGTGCAGATGTGTGGATGTACGTGTGTGTAACTGTGTATAGGTGTGTATAGGTGTGTAAGTGTATGTGAATCTGTTTATGTGAATGTGCACATATATGTGTTTAAAGTTGTATGTGTGTAAGTACAAGTGGATGTATTTGTATATGAATGTATATGCGGTCGGTGTATGTGTGTAGGTGTTTGTGTGTAGGTGTATGTGTGTATGTGGATATGAGGATATATGTATGTAAGAGCTTATATACGTGAAGTAATGTTAATGTATGTGTTGAAGCGCGTGTCTGTGTTTTTGTGTGTGTCTGTGTGTATATTATGTATGGGTATGTATATGTGAGCTTTTTCTTATTGACCGATGCGTTTTTATTGGTAAAAGTGTGTGTGAGTGTGTGTTGTTTTGTGTATATTCTCAAACCAGTATCAAAATAAAAAAAATCACCCAATAGCATTTTGTTAACCGTTTTAGTTGACATCTTGATCGTTAAAATTACGATGTCGTAATTGTAATTACTGTAATCGAACACCAATGAAACGAAGAGACAATGATTAATTGAAGGAGATGAATAACAGCCTTAATTTCGTAGCAGCTTTCATATTGTTTCTATTTTCAACTTGTTTTAAACTATGGTTACGTTAATGACAGTGGATTGTAGCTATTGTAGCTATAAAAATAATAACTTAGAAAAAAGGCGATTTCTGGGAGAAGAATTACGTCATTTGTGGAGGATGTTATGACGTCAAATATGAGAAAAATATGTGTTTCGAGTTGCGTCGTTGTAAATGATCGTACGTTGTTTTAAGTGATTGTTCGTTGTTATTAGCGGCCATGCGTTCGTGCGTTGTTCTACGTCGTCATACGTCGTCATACGTTGTTATAGGTGGTTATACGTTTTATTAAGTGGTCGTTATAAGTGGTCGTACGTTGTTATAAATAGTCGTACGTTGTTATACGTGGCCTTGTGTTGTTAGGAGCCGTACGTTGTTTGTAAAGTGCCGTGCGATGTTATACGTGGTCGTGCATTGGTCTAAGTAGCCGTAAGTTACTATAGGTGATCTTGCTTTGTTCATGGTGGCGTACGTTGTTATAAGTGGTTGTTCAGATGATAAAAGCGTGGGGCTACCTTGCTTACAGTTAAGAGAAAATCAGAGGTGTGATTTGACATTCCAGCCCCATGGTTGAGCAGTCAGTTTTCGACACCGTCTCCTCCGTAGATATCTAAAGAGAGTATAAGCGCTACCACGGGAAATCCCCTCCCCTCACCCTATCAAAGCAACTGGCCTTAATATATTAAAACATTAATGATACAGCAGGATAGAATTGATCGAAACGCCATTCCATCATTGAAGTATAGAATTAATCGTTACGTTATTCTATCGTTGAAAAATAAACTGAAAGTTTCATCGCGTTTTTTTGAGTCTTCGAACTCTCCCCCCTGGGACCACATGGGACCATCCCCCTCCCCCGGGGAGAGTGTGCGTGGTATCGTGGGCAAGAAATCATTCATAAAACATGTGAGTAGCACGCCGCGAACCTCTGCCTCCTCACTGTATCTACCGTCTCGTTCTATCATTGTCAACACATTTAGCGCCCGTGTTGAGTTACCCATCATGCCCTGAGTAGATCTTATTTATAAACATTGTTACGACACCAATACCGAGCCATACAGGGCAGTTTCACATTATTGCTAGTACTAGGTGGCGACCCGTATCAAATAATAGACAGGATAATGAACACGTTTAAATGAAAAGTGGGAAAATGAGTTTGTGTATGTGATATTTTCTAGCGCCTGCGGCGAAATATTTAACTACAATACATTATAGTAATCGGCGGAATGATTGACGGTGCTATTGAGTGCAAATAATGTTTTTAAATGTGAAAAGATTACAAATGAGTTTTGGGAACAAATGTGTGATTCGTTGGAAGTGTGGGGTCTAGTGGTAAACCGCGAGTTTGCTAACCCGAAAGGCACAAGTTTAATACCCAGGCTAGTGACTAAAGCTCGTCAACTGACCGCACTGCCCCTCATGTCCAAAATTGATAGACTGGGGGAGGAAACAAAATCCTGGGGAAATTTCACGAGTCTAGCGGCTGGCAACATGGGAGTGTGAATGGGTGGAAGAAATGCTAATAAATTACTTCAGTCATAAGTCCGGATCAAGATTCGAACTCTAGACCTTCAGGCTAGCAGTCGAGTACTCTATCACTCGGTCAAACGGTCGATTTTTACCGGCACCACCTTCACAAAAAAATTCATAGAATTTTTAAATGTTTAATATCGATAGCGCACTTTACCTTACATTTTGAAAACAAGCATTTTTTTCTCAACCCAATATATCCTTTTAACTTAATTACTTACTTATTCAACAAAACAGTTGATTGTAACTGTTCGTTTCGTCACGCTTTCAAAACGAAAAAATAATTCCACAAAATTAACACGCTAGACTTTTTTTTCTTTAGTTATTTAAATTCAATAGCACCTCTATCCCCATGTTAAAAATTTAATGAAAATATTCCGTCTTTTGATGTAATCAATATAGTTATTTGAGTGAGAAATAAAAACTTGGGGATCGATATCAAGAATCGGTATCAAATTTTAAAGTTTAATGCGCGCTATTATCAGATTACATGAATTCAAACCCAGAAGTGAGCGGGTATGTAGTATAACACGTTTTGGTCAAGCCGTAGAGCTCTTGGATACTGATCATTATGTCGGAGGTTCTATACTTGTGCTGCGTGTCAAGAAAAAAGGCTGAAGGGCGCAAACAAAGTGGATGGCCAATGAAGATCGTTTGAAAACGAGCGCAAACAAAGTGGATGGCCAATGAAGATCGTTTGAAAACGAGCGCAAACAAAGTGGATGGCCAATGAAGATCGTTTGAAAACGAGCGCAAACAAAGTGGATGGCCAATGAAGATCGTTTGAAAAC